CTCCCCTCCCCTTCCACGCGCGATCCAAACAATCACCTGTCGCTCGTCTGATGTGAAATTCGCCACGACGCGTAACGACAGGCAAACATCGCAACAGCGAGTTAATGACAACACACACAGCGGCGTACGTCAGACGGGTGGGCGGGCGGGTGGATGGTGGGAGTTAGGGAGTCAATGAAAGCGGTGGGGAGGTGTGACGCACGCACGCAAGTACAGGTGGCATCGTGCACGCACGCGCGCAAGCGGGTGTCATCGCGCACGCACGCACGCACGTACGTACGGGTGCCAACGCGCACGCACGCACGTACGTACGGGTGCCAACGCGCACGCACGAACGTACGCGCGCACGGGTGTCATTATGCACGCACACACGCACGCACGCATGCACGTCGCTGTTATTTAATAATAGATAGAAGAAAAAAATTCGAGACTCGCTAGAGTGAAATGATTACGTAGCGCGAGTAGGGGCGCGAATATGTGTCCCTCCCCGAGGTGAAGATGATTCTGTACTAGATATTAAAATTAGAGAGAGAGAGAGAGAGAGAGAGAGAGAGAGAGAGAGAGAGAGAGAGAGAGAGAGAGAGAGAGAGAGAGAGAGAGAGAGAGAGAGGCCCATATATATAACAAATGTGTTTCAGTTCGTTCATGATATGCTTTTCTAGTGTGACCCCGACGAGTGCATCACGCAGTTGTAGGGTTTGAAGCAATTAGCGTAAGGCCTAAATGGACCTAAAAGCGATCGACTCTAAGCTAAATCTCAGTACATTCACCCGCGTATTTGTGTAGCGAGTACATTATCTGCGACGAAACACTGTGGTCTAACGAAGGACCGGGGAGGGAATGTGGCGCACTGTTTCCTATACTACCGTCGCTATCGCCGAACTCGCGCCAAGCGTCATGGCCAGGGTCTCCTACCCACTTGTGCTTTGCCAATGATGATCAACGCGGACTATACGAGAGAGAGAGCTGCGGGTAAACGAGCCTAAACGATAGGGGTTTGTAGCGTAAGCGAGAACATTGAAATGAGTCCAGTAAGTACAGCGTTGTATAGGTAGAGCAGCACGAATGAGACACGGCAGTATACACGTATATCCACCGAAAATCGCTGAGATGGTAGCGATAGTCCATGCAGTCGACTCGGAAATGTGGAATTGAAATTGATCTCGTTGCCTTGTCTTTTTCGTGATGATATCTAGATGGCTATACTGACACTGAGGGCAGATACCTGAAAGGCCATTCCACCACGATTTCACACTACATCCGACAGTAGCAGTGGCACGGACCATGTGCACATAGGGTTTATTCAATACTGTCTATCTGTATATCGACGCGGTTCAGTCTGGGGGCGATTCTACAACTATATATATATATATCAAGAGTAGATAATAGAGATCTCTATTATCTACTCTTGATATATATATATACATTTAGCTCTATGTATAACTCACAGTGGCATGATGCAGTGGCTATATATATGGATTGCAGCAAGGGGGCATCGAGAGAGTCTTCATTGCCAGCTGTTATTTGCACTGACTACGCTTGATTCGCCGATGCGCGCAGACTAAGTGTTCTGATTTATAATTTACGTACTAAGTAGCTTAGCTCCGTGATGCCGAATAGTTTCCGGTCCGCCACAGGGCACGCGTTTAGCTCTGAGTATATCCCAACCTCATCGGCATGACACTAGCGTAGCGCGGTCACCAACAAGACACTGCATGACTCATCACAGGTTCAGCGCTCCTGGCTGGGACGTTGCTTCACTGCATGCTAATCAGCACCGTTGTCGAAGTTTCAAGACTAGACCATCGGTTTAAGAGGGTCCTGGTCCTTTTAAGTTTCTGGTAGGCGGGACGACGACCTCTCGTGGATTATTATAGCTTTATTTAGCAGCACGCTGATCCGTCATTTTATTCCTGTGCAGATGTGATGCTAGTTCATCAGTTAATGTGCACGTTGACGGGACTCCGGCGCATCAGGTAACGCCCCTGACTAAACAGAGCTCTAGTCTGTCACAGATTGGCATCCGTATACACGTAACGCTGGCCCATTAGTTCCCCTCAGTGGTGGTACACAGGTCTTTATAACCAGCCCATCAGTTAACGCCCCATCCGTAGAACTCTAGCCTATCAGTTAACTTCCCAGCGGACAGGACGGTAGTTCATCACACGTTCACGCCCCACGTGCGGGACACTGGTTCATTAATTATCAGTGATGCTGTTGCGAGGTTGTACTCGCATTGCTTGTTAACAACCCGGTTACTCACGGTAGTTTATCACATGAGAGCCAACGGACAATATACGTGAAAGCGTCGTGATATTTTTTGCGTCCTAACACGCCCGCATGATTTCCCCAGCCTGCCCCTCCCCTACGTACAACGTTTAACTACTCACCTCATGCTACTTGGCTAGCTTACCTGCCAATGAACGTGAAATAGCCGACCATGTTTAGTCGGCGCGTTGACTCCAACAATCCACGTATCGTGCTTCCCTCGCAGAAGCAGGCGATAGCACGAGCCTTCGGCGTGGAGTTTAGCGCTTTGATGACGGCGTCGAACTCGCTCGCATCGTCATTGCTCTTCACCTTGGCGGCGGTGGCGATGCAGATGCCCTCGTCGCGTGCTTTGTTTTTGAATGCTTCGATGCCGCCGTTTCCGTACACGCCTGCGAGAGAGAAAAGCCAGGCAATTCGCTTAGCACAAGTCGGTCTCATTTCTATAGCCGCGTCTATGCGAAGATAAATCGCATTATACACACACGCACGCACGCACGCACGCACGCACACACGCACACACGCACACACGCAGCCACGCACACACGCACACACGCACACACGCACACACGCAGCCACGCACACACGCACACATGCACGCACGCACGCACGCACGCACGCACGCTATATATTAGGAGCGTGGCAACTAACGCTAGCTTCGTGTAAATCTTAATGATATCATTATGCTAATGCATTGTATTTAGACAAGAATTACAGATTACGTATGAAGATAGTAGCAATTCACAAGGATTGAAAACCGTAATACGTTTATGCAGCGATTAAATAGGAAGTGAATTTCATGATGTTTGCTTAACTTTCGGAACAAAAAAGCCGTTAAGACGTTTGAAGCCGTTAAGACGTTGAAGACGTTTGAACAAAAAAGCCGTTAAAAGAGCCAGAATCTTCTAAGGTGATTAATGGATGCCAGTTTTTTTGCATCGGTTGGTCTACCTATACTGAACAAAAGACGCGAGAATGTATTCATGCCAAATATCAGTGTATAATGGAGCTTTATCTAAGACGAGTAACTGTTAATCCATTAAACATTACATTATTAAACTACAAAATAACCCGCTTATATATAGGGGAAATTTTTATCATCTTAAGTTTATGTTCTTTTGTTAGGGTTAGGGTTACACTGTTACATGCTCATCTGTTATCTGGATATGAATTTTAACAAAAATATTTTCCTATTGATTACGTTTGTTAAAACACCGCGTAGAAGAGGGATACCTGTGACGACACTAGAGAACATGCTAAGCTAAGAATTGAGGTTAAACATTATTAATTACCAGTTTCCGTCATCAGTTACCAGCACATCCGTTTACGCAATACTTTTGCCGTTATCGTTAGGCTTACCGTGATGTTAGTTTATCGTTAAGCTGGCTAATCATCAGGCCCGTTTTATCTTCAAGTTACTTATCTGTAAACCGACTTATCTTTGATCCGGTTTTTATCTATAAAATAGCAAATTTCTGCTGACGTATTATTAGGAAGGTTTATCTTAGCTTGATATAACCTATTGTATTTTTATTCTCGCTTAGCCTGAAGCAAATTTATCTTTACGATGGCTTTTTATCTTCAACTCATCTCATACCTTATCTTTAAGTTGGATAGCGTAATAACTGCAATGGCGGGTACCATTATTACCGGCTGTGTGCGCAACACTGGATAAAACAATAGTACGGCTCAAGTCAGTATGACGTTTCCGACTCTTCTGTTCGAACGCCATGTTTACCGCGCCGGAACTAACACGTGGCCATTGAAATGCACTAATTAACTTTTCTAGCTAATAGACTTATGAGCGCGCGGCGCGCGATGATAAATTATCAGGAACGTAATTATTAACGGGATAAAATATTACGCGTTAGCTATACGCCGCGCGCTGTTCTGCCGACGACCAGACATAGATTTATGATAGAATTCCGATAGAATTACGAGTCAGAGGCTGGTCCGGATACGAACATCACCGCTACTCTCCTCCTCACGCGCCTGCATGTCTGCGCGCGCAGCAGAGGAAGGTTGGCACATGCGTAAATACCACCAGGTGGCGCTTACGTTGTCCCAGCGTCTCGATACCCTCGCATTAAGAACAATATATACACATGTTTGTATATATATATATATATATATATATGTGTGTGTGTATAATTATATGTACACATGTATATATTGCTCTCAGTCATCGAGCGGTGCTCCGTGGCTTGAAGTCCGATCCGCGACGCCTCGACCCGAAGGACTGCCTTCATTTGAGCGAAGGAGTTCGTTGGTAACTGCTTGTGAAAAAAGTTTGTCGGCATGGCTCGGTGGCGACAAATTATCTGTGCGGCCGCCGACGAGCGTGCTGGCGCCCCGAACAATGGCTTTGACCAGAGCCGTATATAAAGATAATATATAATATATAAGATATATATAAGTCTATATATACGGATCTGGCTTTGACGAGGCGTCGCGCCATGGGGCGACGCTTCCGCAACGAGTTTTAGCGGCGCAAAGTTCGAGCACGCGGGAAGAGTAAATGTATACGTTAGATCCTCTCAGTCTTCTCTCTCTCTCTCTCTCTCGTCATCTCTCTCTCGTCTCTCTCTCTCTCTCTTTCATCTCTCTCTCTCATCTCGTCTATTTCACAGCGCTCTCTGTCACTTTCTACGCTCTGGGCCTCTCTCTTGGCTTCACTTCTTGCTCTCGCGTCGCGTTCTCTTCTCTATTCTCTCTCGGTTTCTTCTTCTCTCTCTCTCTTCTCTCCTCTTCTTCTCTCGCTCGCTCTCTCTCTCGTCTCTCTCTCTCTCTCTCTCTCGCGCGGGGGGCGCGCGAATGCACTGCCCCTCTCTATCTATCTAGATATCTCTCTCACGCTTTCTTTCTCTCTCTATCAATGTTTCTCTATTTGTTTCTCTCTCTTTCTCTCTCTCTTTCTCTCTCTCTTTCTCTCTCTTTCTCTCTCTCTTTCTCTCTCTCTTTCTCTCTCTCTCTCGTTCTCTCTCGCCCCCTTCTCTCTCGCTCACTGCATATCAATATTTATGCATGAACACGCTACGACATGGATAGAGCCACGTTCTCTATACTACGACTCTTTACTAACGTCGACACCGCGCGCATGATATTAGAGATAAACTCCTGCTGATGATGCGGCCGTAAGTACAACTGACAGCAAATTTATAGACGTGCGTCGCAGAAATATTCAACATAATTATTCACGATCATTAGCTGCCAATTAACAATTGAGAATTTACCCACGAACATGACATTGTGTATGTATATACATGTATATGATCTATGTATACGCGGCGTGTGTGTGTGTGTGTGTGTGTGTGGTGTGTGATGCTGTGTGTGTGTGTGTGTCGCGTGTGTGTGTGTGTGTGTGTGTGTGTGTGTGTGTGTGTGTGTGTGTGTGTGTGTGTGTGTGTGTGCGTGCGTCTATGTATGTGGTATGTGTGTGTGAGTGAGTATGACGTGAGTGGGTTGAAGCCTACGCGTTCAATCGTGATGCGAGTCTGTGGTGCTCGATGTCCATTTTCAAGCCGCACGTGTTGCTTGCGTTAAAAGAAAGCAGATATTTCTGATAAAAATGCACTCCGGCTACAGGGAAACTTAACGCTAATAAAATTTACGTGAAAAAATCTACAATGTCAAGGCAAATTTCTCACTCTCTCTGCCAATCCCTGTTTCTGCCTGTCTAATCCTCACAATTTCTGCCCACTCCCCCTCTAGCTATCATTCTCCGTCTTTCTATCTCGTCCATTCTCACTCTCATTCCCCATATCTCTTTGCCAATGTCACTCTCCGGTAAACATGATTAATCCGCCTAATGCATTAAAAACCATGCAAATCACAATTAACTGCGCTAGATTTATTGCAAGAAACCGCAGAACGCATAGATCTTCATGTTCTTTCGAACAGGAGCGGATGCAGAGACGACAGGGGACCGTCCCGCGAGCCAGCACGGTATTTTTCATCGTAGGAATTTAGCAACAAATAGTAGGTTTCTTCTCGGCTATTAGCTTGTGTTAGTGTCGAAAGCGAGACCATAATTGCTATAGTATACTCATGCATACACCCAGGTGCATAACAGGGCTTTTCTTACGGCTTTTCTGCTGTCTCGAACTGTGTCACATAACTGAACTGAAAATCACGACTGATATTCGGGGAACATGCATGTCGTAATAGAGCGATCGCACGGCCGTTCACAAAACATGTTTCCGGAATCAGTGACGCCAGTTTGCATGAGGAAGATTTTGTTCATTCTGTAAGATTTTGTTCATACTGTTCGACAGCTCACGGTACGGATTCAGGGAATAAGGAGCACCAGCATCAGAGGTAGCAGTCGTCTGCGCCTAGTTGTAAGTAAATGGCACGAAACTCCGCGAGTATTCTTGGGCCGGCCACACCGCGAATGCCCGGATGCCAACATGGCGCCCCGCTGCGTGTTTACAAACGGCGTAAGGTTTCGCGGTGCTATCCGTTCCTTTTTTCCCTCGCAGTCACGTGCTATTCAGCAGACGGCGCTTGCCGCCACGGCGCGCCTATGACGAGGGACGCCCAAGTGAAACACGTGTTTATTTTGTATAGATACAGTGTTTATCATGCCGTACGTACGCACAGAGGTTAGGTTTGTACGTGTGTTTGCATTATCATATAATATACCGCATAAAAATGTAAATATCGCTACCGTGCCTATATAATTATATATATCAAAAGTGCATAATAGTAATCTATTATCTACTCTTGATATATATATATATATATATATATATATATATATATATATATATATATATATATATATATATATATATATATATATATATATATATATATATATCCGTGCAATGTACACGGTATATAGTAAATTCTAATAAATAAGCCGTCACGCGGTAGGCCAGCGACCGCTCCCTGACGTCATCTGACGACACGTGACGTCAGTTACACAAGATGCACACCGCGTGTTGTCGTCGCGCGGCTTTCAATTCAGGGAGAAGTCGAAGCGATTCGCTTTTCAACCTTAAATGTAGCCGGAGCTTTGTCCGCTAGCAAATAAAAACGAATAAAAAACGATAAAGCTGTGCGGACAAGCGCGTGCGCGGGATTCTTTTTGCAGATTAATCACTTATTGATAACACTCTCGTCTGCTCCCGCGTGCACTGGCTTTTGAAAAGCTTGGAACGAGGGATGATGCTGTAACGAGGATGCGGCGGGGATATCTTAGTGACGCACAGCATCGGGCGATGCAAAGGTGTTTTCCGTCGACGCAGGTATAGTGCTGTTTCCGTCGCGTATCTCTCTCTTCACAGAGCAGAGCAGGTGTTGTTGTATATATTGTATTCAGCAAGCAGTGGCAATAGAATGCGACGCTTGGCACGTCACACCTGCAACGACAATGGACGGGCGCGCC